GAACACCCCGTGGTGTCTTTGCTCAGTCAGATGTGAGAAGAGGTGCTTTCTAAACCTGCCCCAGCACGCTGCCTGATATTTGGATCCAATAACTTTGGTATGAGCGACGAGGGCAAACGAAAACAAGGCATTAGAAAACATTGGATGGCCCAGGCATTGTTTTGCATGTTGCATAACAGCTAGACGGGGAGGGAGATTTTTGGTTTGTTGGGCTGTTGATCTCTCTGCAGGAGCGGCCTTCGTCTCCAGCCTTAACCTTTGACCCTGGGGCGGCCAGGCAATAACGTCTCTTGGCCCGGCTTTGTTTTTATTCTCTCAGATGAGGAGACCCACGAGGAGGCTGATAAGGCTAAAAGATCTCTTCTGCCTGGCAAGCATCCAGACCCTGCTTTGCTTCCGCACCGACGAAGAGCACATGCTGCCACACAAATTCACTTTTCAATTTCGCTTGATGGAAAAAACCTTATGGTCTGACAATGCCGCGGTAACCAGGCAATTCGACCCAGCAACACGCAGTAGTAATAACCGGGGAGCTGAATGGCTTCAGGCTCCTTGTATTGATTTTTTTAGCTGTCAGTTTGACAATATTTGTGTCTTTCCAGGCAGGAGGTAGTTTTTTTTTTTTCTTGCGCTGGTCAGCTCATATAGGTATTTGTAGCTTTTATGAGCTGCAAGCTTGCACATGGCTTTAGTTGGTCATGTAGTCCCACTCTCAGACATCGCTCTCCATGGGCAGGTTAGGCTGAGCTCAGAAAGACTAATGAGTTTTGTTGTTTCTTTGAACTCTTGAATCCTAGCATTATTATTCAGTTGTTAGTCTCGAGGCTTATTAATCGTAACTACCATGAAAGTGATATGTAACTTAGATAGATATGACAGTGAAGAATCATGTTTGGGCCCAGAAATGGAAACTGAGCCCATTAAGGTTAATGGATTTATCAAAATAGTCTGTTCAAATCTTGTAATCAATGGATTTGGAATTTCAGATGTACAATATGCAGTTTAGCTTCGTGGTCTTTTTTGGTTTGTGCCGAGTGGGCTTGCTTACTTTTTGCATTGGATATGTTATGTTGGGCTGGTCACGGCTGTCCTGACATTCTGGGAGGGTGTAACAGGGTGCATCGTGGCCATTGCATCATGGTGGACATGCGTTCTCTTAGTTATCATGACAACTTGTTCCAATTATCTTGTGGTCAAGTGGTCTTTATTGTCATTCATTTATATATGATAATAAGACAAGAATATTGCTGATAATGCACCAATAAAGAATAACTTTTATGGTTACAGCGTTGGGATTTGAACTTGTGATTTCCTGATGAAATGGTGAAACTTTGTGAAACTATGAGGAACCCTTGTTTAACTATCAGGCAGCATATACTGGCTAAACTGGTGAATGTAAACATAAAACATGACAAAACATGTAAAATGCACCAAACCCTCACCTACAAGGAGGATAATATAGAAATATTACACACAAAAAAAAAAATTATGAAGTGAACTAATGGAAAGCAAAAAAAAAGCCCACCCCTCCAGTGCTACAGTGTTTGTGATATTTAAGACTGAGAAATATGACATTTGAGAACCGACAGTCATATTTAGCGATGTACAGGTGGTCCCCATATATCAGACATCAGCATACTACTAGTGATGTTCCTTATCGCAATTAAGACAGACTAAGCTGAAGGCATTTACTGGTGGGATAACATTACATTTAAATGACTACGAAAAGTCACTATACTCTTTGGCATGATTTATCTCTCAGTGATTACAGTTGTATGCAAAAGTTTGGGCACCCATGGACAAATTACCTTTTTGTTGTTTTTCATGTGAAAATAAGTTTTGAACGTGTTTCTGCACAGTTCAATGCACAGTTACTGTTTATTGGCTGAATTTAACATGTTGGAAAAAATAAGTAAAATGTGACCTGTGCAAAAGCTATAGCATGTTTTATTGTTTCCAATACGCTAAACTTGGCCAGTAGAAATTGTTCATTGAAATATGCAGAAAAATGCCATATTTAAAGTATGCCATCGTGATATTTAATGTCAATAATATCAGTTGGTCAAAGCATTGCTTCACTAAATCTATTGGAGAAAATAATTAAAATATATAACTATATCAGCCAAAGTTGGATTTTTTTTAATTAGAACTTTGTATCAAACAGTTTTTATAACAGTCAAGCCCTAGTTTACCACTTTGCAACCTCTGACAGTCATTAAACCAGTCCAGCACATTCATGCCATACTCCACACTACTCCACCCCACTTTCCCTGCTTAAGTGTTATTAGCAGGTTGTGCAGCAACGTGGCTACAGTCATCATTTGTCTTCATTCCAGTTTTGTTCAAAAATGTTGTGAGAATATCGAATCATAAAACCAGTGTATTGTGAATCAAATCTTGGGCTGAGTGTGTCATTAGACCTCTGGTATGTTTGCAGCACTTGGGGAAATATATCACCAGGAGGTTACTTGTGTCACTGTCGCAGTATCCACTAGAATCCAGCTAGTACCCTATTTAGAAACAACATGGCGTCCTGTGATATGTTTCCATGGATATTTTCTTTTACTTCATTAAATCAACACCACACTGTCTATAGGATTAAGCCCTCGTGCAGTCAGGCTTGTAGATGATATGCAGTAGCCTCCAGCAGTGGCTTAACAGCTTCTTGGTTGCGTTCCTCATGGTCCTTAAAGGGCCCTTATAATGGAAAAGTGCTTTTTCCTTGCGTCTGTATGAAATGGGGGTTTGATGTAGTATGTAAACTTTGTTAAAGATTTATAACTGTACACTCCATGTTGCATAAAGACCATATATTGAGGCTGCAAAAACAGCCTGGTTTGATTTCATCATGGTTGTGATGTCATAGCCATGAGCACATTTGCTCACAACCATGCAGGAGTTTGGTTCCATATCAAAGTTTAATAGGAACAAAGCAGGAGAAAAGACTAGGCGAGACCTCCATATTTCACAGTGGATCCCCTTCCAGAAAAATTGTATCTTGTCACATGACTAAAACAGTGCATACATGCACCTCTTTCCTGTTTACATTTAAAGCAAAGATTTGAGAAATCTGAAGAGATCTTATGGAGGCGAACTGGTGTAAGATAAGCCTTATTGATAAACTTAAAGTTCATTTCATAAAGAGATGTCAAGCATACTCAAGGCTGTAGGCCTTCCCAAGTCAAAGAATGCATCTTTTTGTGAAGAAGTCAACCAATATGAACATTTATTTAAGGCTAATGGGGACAGTAACAAAAAGAGCCTGTTTAAAAAAGAGGTTGGAAAAAATCCATGTCAAAATGGACTGTTTTTGGTTGGTTAAATCACACTAATGTTTATAATTAGACAAAACATAAGAGGGAAAAAATAGAGTATGCAAAAATAGAATAATGTCCTGGTGTAGTTTGTTTCCTGTGGCTGTGTTGCATCATACTGTGTGCGCTTTGCCGTTACTGCTAAGCTCCATCACACCTTAAAAAGCTGTTTAAGCACCTCAGGCAATATGGCCTTGAGATTAATGAACAGTGAAAATTGCAGATTGATGTTATTAGCTTTGGCATCTCTGACAACCTGATTTCATTTTCTCGGCTGGTGTTAATTAAAGAACATCCTCCAGCCAAAGTATGAAATGATATTATTGTTATTAACTGAATTTAAAGCCTTGTTCATTTTTCTTCTGCGCTCTATTGTGTAATGTAATTTTCTCATAAAGGCCTCCTAACATAGACTTATCAGAGACGAGGGCAGAATTATGCACAAAAAGAGAGAGAACAACAGGTGGGAGCAGCTTGTCTGTTTTATTTCTTTAGGCATAATTTGACTCAACATAACATAATAACATAATTGACATAAGACTCAATTGTTCTGTGAACTACTTCTACCTCCCCCCTCTCTTTCCCTCTCTCGCTCTGTATTTTTATTATATTTTCAACACAATCTCTTAGCACCTCAGAAGAGACTACTATCTCATCTTGGAAGGATCCTTAAAGGGGAATTCCACCGATTTTTCAAAAATTCTGCTTGATTCAGTCATTAAGGTGTCATTCAGAGTGATTTAATCAGAAAAGCTCAGTTGAAGAAAAACTTTCTGAGTCAGAAATGTTGACAGCGGTGGTGATAGAAGCCAGACAGCTGTAGCGTTTAATGTCCCTAAAACTGGCAAAAAGTTATAACAGGTTACGTACACTTTGTCTGATGTCTGAGACTTTGTTTTATGATAGTTTAGAGATGAGATTTTGGTCTAAAAGGTCATTTTTAAACATCTGTTCATGGTGGAGATGTATGCGTGGGGGGGTGTTCAGGCAAAATAGTCTTCACAGAAAATGTATTTTTTCAGGTTTAGCACCATTTTACCATCATCAACATGACACATTAAAACTCAGATGACTCGTTGGGTAGTAAATAAAATAAAATAAAATGACTTTGTGTTGTAGACATCATTGGTTCCTATCACCACTGGTTGGTAAGTTTCTCCATAATGCACACATGCATAATTTCACATTAAACCACTCTGAATGTCTCTGTTTACATCTCAATGATTAAATTATTCTGAAATGTTGAAAAATTGGTCGAAATCCCCTTTAAAAATAACACAGGTCATAATACTTTAACTTTATTCCGATTTTTTGGGTTTAGTTATCTCCTCGTTACTTTTTTGTGATGGTACAGCAGTGTCCAATTGTAGTGGAAAGTGATTCTGTTCTGTTGTGATTCTTCAGTTATTCAGTGCATTATAATCTAAAATTTTACCATGATTTGATTTATTTGATTATTTTGGTCTGATTCAGGATATTTTTTTAAAACTACACAGATGTGATTGGAAGGGCAGGTGTTCACACAGTAGTGGTGCATAGCTAAAAAACACAGTACATCAGCGTTTTGTGATTTTTGTCTTTGAAAATAGCCAGATATTTTCATAATATTACAAATATATTTTATTATAGAGTATAATCAATTCCATTGACACATTATGATGCATCGATGCATTTTTGCACCCTTAGTGTCCAGCCAGTCTGAGGTGAAGGATGTTCCTGATTGCTGTGTAAAGGCCACCACCTCATCTTCTCCAACTACAGGTCATACAGCACGGCTGAATGCCTCGCCTTTATGGGAGTGATGGGAAGCGTACACTATCACTCTGCTATTGGATTATCTGTCACCCTGTTGCGTTGCTTGGCGACTGAGTGACACCCTCGCCTCCATCATTCTCTCTCAGTGACAGTGCAGCCAGTTAGCATTAGCTGCTAGTAATCAATCAGTGATAACTCGTCCTCCAGTGTATTTTCTTGGAAAACTGGCTCTGCTTGTGTATGATGCATGCATGCTTTGCTTTGCTTTGCTTGGGGAATAACTTGACTTTGGGCTTAAGTTATGTGCTTTAAGGAATACTAATCCTAATACTAAACCTAATCTCTATCTGCTGATTGGTCGGTTGATTATTTGTGCATCACTGTTCACTTGAAATGCACTAAACACTAAAGAGCCAATGGAAGAGATTAGATTGCTGGAGTAATTCTTTAACTGAGAAATCCAGTTTTATGACATAGTCGGCTAGTAAAAAGACCTAAAAGGGGATTTCCAAAGAATTGTGAAAATTTCTTCATGAATGAATCTTCAAGATACAAACGAGGTCATTTAAAGTGGTTTAATGTTAGGTGCATTGTTCTAGAGAAACTTACCCAGTCAGATTTGTCCACAGTGGTGGTGATAGGAACCAGACGTCTGAAGCATTTCATACCTCTAGAAGCCACCTCACAAAAAGTTATTAAATATGTGAAATGGTTACAAACCCATTGTCTGATGCCCGAGATATTATTGTACTATAGTTTTGAGATAAAGTTTTGGCCTAAAGTGTTTTTTTTTTTTTAATACGTTCATGGTGAAGGTGTATATACAGGGAATTGCTAGGCTAAGTAGTTCCCACAGAGAACAAATAAACTTGTGCAGGTTCATTCACTGGCAATTTTGGATAGTAAATAAAATGACTATATTTGTGTTGTAGACATTGTGACCCCCTCAATAAGTTTCTCTACAGTGAAGCATTTCACATCAAACCACTCTGAATGACTCTGTTTACATTACAGTAGTTAAATTATACTGATATCTTGAAAAATCTGCGGGACCTGGCTGCTCCTCTAATAAGTAACGATCCAGTTTCCTTACAGAAATCCAGGCTGATGAAAGAACTGCACGTGTAATTGCAATTTGGCCTCTCTCTCTCTCTCTTTCTCTTTCTCTTTCTCTCTCTCTCTCTCTCACTAATTAAAGCCACTTAATGATAATGATGATGATGATTGAGGGGAGAGAGAAGGGCATGGCCGGCCTCGCCACCGTCGTTAGCGTTAATGCCACTGTAAGAGGGGGCATTTGCTGTAGCCTCAAACGTGCGACCCTCTCTGTCCCTCTGGGAGGATGTTTAGAGATACGCTGGTTACCATGCGGACAGCGCGTGCGTGTGTGCGTTTTCATTACCCTCAGAGCGGTGCGGGTCAGCGCAGGATCCCTGTGCTCTATGTGTTTTTCACTCGCCACAGGAAATGTCAATGGCATCAGAAAAGGGCTTAGCTGGAAAGGGTAAAGAGATCCGATCTGCGCCGGGCATTTTTTTTTCTTTCTTTTTGCATATTCATATGCCACCCGGGCTGATTTGAATATCTTCTAAAAAAAGCAGGAGATAAGCCCTCTGCTCTTGCTTGGTGACGAAGGAGCAGAATGGGTGGGGGGGTGGTGCGGGTTCAGCATCACATTAAAGTGTAAGTGTGATGTGTGATCAGGTAAGACGCTGGGTGTCGAAAGTTTGCTTCTTTAGCTGTGTGCTAATGTAACTAACAAGTAATGGAAGCTTATACCTCACCAGATGGCATTATTCAAACTAAATCATCGTTCACTTGCTTTAGACCACTTCAAGGTGTTCAGTAATCTCAGACAGACTTGCTTATGTCATTTCTGTTGCCTATAAAATGGACAAAACTATGCAGCATAGCTAAAAACACTAAAAGCAACACAATGGAGCCTGAATTTTGTCCACATTTTTATAGAACAGTACAGTCTTACACAAAGGATTCATAAGTTTACATGTTTTGTTGGTTTTCTGAGGGAAAATACATTCTAAAAACTGTTAGCTTACATTAGCAAGCTAATGCTAATCCTGTCACAAATGCCAGACATGAAAAACAGGATTAATTAGGTTACTATTATAGATTAAATTAGGTTACTACTACAGATTTTACTTATCTAGAACATGTCTTTGCCTGCTATACTTAAAACTTTGTACTTTTTTACTTACATTAAGATTTGTCAGCCCTGACTCTGCTTTTGCCTGACTTTAAACTCTGTTTAAAGGGCTAATATCTCACATTTCTTGTATGTTATACCCCGCCCCCCCCAAGTTTTACATATTGCGTTATAAGCTAGAAACTCCTTCATTTAAAAAAAAAAACAAGACAAAATAGATTTTCCATGGTATGTGCCTTTCTAGTTTCTATTGTAATCTGCATCTTTTTGTACTGAGTGGGGAAAATTGCCAGTTAGCTGGGATGTTAGTTATCCAGACACTACCCCAATGGCTAAAACTACCCAAAACTACCCAGCACAGTGTAAGTAATTCAGCAAAAGACCCTAACCCAGTAGCCAAATCACCCAAAAACTACCCAGCACTTTGGAAATAACCCAACTCAGTGACCCAGCGGGCGAAACTCAACATTTGGTTACAAAAAACAATCAGTTTTTAGAGTGTAGGTTAATGCGTCCTTTACAGGGAACAAACTTCTGCTAATTTTAGTGCACAACTGCTATTCATGTTGAATTTAACCTAAGCTCAATGCCTATAAGCCATCTATTTTACAGACGGACCAATACAGACCAATATAATCAAACATTCAATTCATTTTAGATGTAAAATACATTATGTTTGGGTGCGTGTCATATTTTATGTTTTTTTCCCAATATGTTAAGTGCAGCAAATAAATGATAATTAAAAAATAGAGTTGTTAGAATAACAAAAGTTTGAGAGGAGAATCATGCCTGAAACTCCTCCTCCTTCCAGTCAAACGTCCTAAACATTTCCATCTCTGCTTTTCTGTGTTTTCGCACCCTGTCTCCACCCTGTTCATCCCTCCCGCCTCTGTTCATCAAGCGGCCTTCTAGTGTTAAATAGAAGCCGCCCAGAACTGCACCACAAGTTCTTAGTTCTCCTTCCTCTCTCAGCCGTAAAGTCTCTTCTTACTTTCCAACTAGATGTCGCAGGCATGGTCCGAATTAGTGAAATGCTGTGATTAGCTTTGTTCATGTACAAGATGTTTTAACTTACTTTCACTTAGAACAAGTCAGAAAATCATATAAGCAAGTCTATTTGAAAAGACTTGACATGTTTTTGAGGAGAGTGTGCATTGCACATACTAATTAGTGTACATAAGCTTCCATTACTTGTTAGACAAACCTCATAGTTCCGGCGCAAAACTAAGGAAGCAATCATACCTAATTGACTACATTTGGATTAAAGAGAACACTGAAATTTGATTTTTTTGCCAGACTGTTTCTTTCAGTGGCCCATATCATGAAAAACTGAATTGTTCTCACTTGTTTTTTGAGTAAAAGATTTTAATGAAGTATAATGTACAAGAAAAAGTGTGGAATGATCTCCTTTCATACATGAAGCCAAGTCCATAGTTATGAGACAGAAGGCTTGGCCCCTGCCCCCTATCCCCTGCCCTGGCCGCCTCACCTATCGCATGTGCCTGTTGTCAAGCGCCACCATGCATAGTAATAACGCTGCTGTTTCAGGCCTGACATTAATAAGGAGCACCAGCTGTCTGGTTTCGTGATTCAGAAGCGCTCTCTGTGCCTCGTGCTGAACCTTCAGAAATCCAAACGGAGACCTGATTCTGCACCGCTGCAGCCTATCCGCTCTGTTTACACTTCACATTATTAGTTTGTGGCGTTGTTGATTTGTTTGCTTGTTTTTTCCCCTTTTCTGATATCGATCCTCTTTGTTTTGGTCGAGCTCGCTGCTCGTGTCGTTATCACAGAGAATAATTTACATGTAGTTTTTTCCCTACTGAAATGTCTTTCATTGGACTGAAAAGCTTTGTTCAGTATAGCTTGGCTTTAAATATTTAAATAGGCTGCATTGTTTATGCCTTCAGGTTTCTTAACAATAGCTCAAAGAGACGATGGCTTTTAGATGTGCAAATGCTGCTACTGTAATTCGTTCTACATCTTAAATGCATTGAATATTCGATTATTGGCTTTTGTCTGTAGAATTAGATGGCTTCATAGGCCTTGATGTTAAAGGAAGAGTCTGGCTTTTTTCTGGCTTTAGCTAATGGTTGACTACCGCAGACGGTAATTTCATCACATTTCTATGTGTGTAGTACTAAAAACTGATAAATAAAACTCTTTTTATGGTAGAAGTCAGTGGGCAGGTGCTGTAACATCTGCCCATTGGCTTCTATTGTAGTCGTGTTTTGAGGGAATGGTCTTACTGCTCTGTAAATGCAGAAAAATGTCTGTCTGTTTTACAAATAATGTGAAAAATCTTCCCAGTGGCCGAAGCATCTGCCCATTGGCTTCTGTTGTAAGTGCATTTCGAGTGTTTTTTTTTTTTCTCGTTTGTAAGTACTGAAAATTTTGTCTATGATAATAAATGGTATGCAACAGATGTGGCAGATAGATATTAGATTTAAAAACGTGCAAGTATTCCTTTAATGTTTGCTGTCTGCTCCACATCAAATGCATTGAAGAGCCTCTCAGCTTGTACTCATTATCTGAATACAACAAATGTTTACCGGTGAGGTCATCCATTTCTCTTTACCATTAATGTCCCTCTTTCAACTTTCTCTGTGGGGGGAAAAAAGCCCTTTCTAAAATTAGAAACCGTGGAAGGAAGTCTGTTAATAAAATATTCCCTCTAGAAACATGGATGTGTAACCTTCTCCTCTGGGTTTTGCTTAGTGCGGCCATCATGTGCCAGCCATCTTGTAGCGCACACCTTCTGAATGATTTGCTGCTAATGGCTGCATGTGCATGCCCGTAAGCCGCTCTCTTCGAGGAATTAATGCTCTGCTAAAATGCTTGAAACAGTTCTTTAATGAGATATATCACGTTTTATCGGTTTTGCCCGCCTTCTCTCTGATGGTCCATGGACTTTTCTGTTAAGCTGATTTTAAGCGTAGAATTATTCATTATTTCAAACGCTAAAGGAAGGATTGCATTTCATGCTAAATTACTTTTACATTGCCTCTTCATGTGAACTGATTAGACAGTACAAACAGATTGTAGATGACCACAGTTTACACCAACAAATATTAAAGCTACAGTAAGCATTTCAGGTAGCTGTAAGAACATGGCAGTCATGAGCTTATGCTTGGGATGGAAGCCATGTTGGCCATTATATTGCTGTTTAGGAATGACTAGCACTGATGGGTAGTTAGCATTATGTGAAAATGGTCATGGTGGTCTCGCAAAAATAGCTTTAGAAGATATTCAAAAATGTTATATTTTCAGTGCAAGTCAGTCAGACATTTCTCTTCTTGATTGTGTGGAATTCACCTTTCATGGATAAATACACACTTAAAAAAGATGGTTCTTCAAGGGTTCTTTAGTAAAGAAAATAGTTATACATAGAACCATGAAAACTCAAAGAACGCTTTGTGTGATTAAATGGTTATTTGCATTGTGAAAGCGTTCTTCAGATTGATGGAGAATATGCTGTAGATGGTTCTATATAGAACCTTTTGAAAAGCAAAAAAGGTTCTGCTATGGTTATGATGTCAGGCTTGTAACAATAGAAGAACGCTTTATGGTGCTATGTTGAACCCTTTTCTAATAATGAAAAGGCTTCTATGTAGCACAAAAAGGGGTTATCCTATGGTTATGATGTCAAGCTTGTAACAGTAGAAGAACCCTTTTTGGTGCTATATAGATACCTCGTCAAAAAGGTTCTATATAGAACCCTATAAAACACTTTCTCCATCAATCTGAAGAACGCTTTCACGATGCAAAGAGCCCTTTAATCATGCAAAGGTTTCTTTAAGTGTTCGTGGTTCTACATAGAACAATTGTCTTTACTAAAGAACCTTTGAAGAACCATTTTTTAAAGAGCATGGCTGCAAACAGGATTTTTTAGGATTCTTTTGGTGTTTATTATGTTGGATGATTATAATTGGCTACAACGATGATTCATTGTTTATATCTCTTTTAAGAAAATATCAGAATAATATCTAAAATATAATGCAATTTTTGATTCTAGGCCTGACATTATGGTCCGAGCCTGAAATCAGCCAAGGAATTTAGTGGTTGTTTGTCTGGGCCACGAGTTAAAAGGCTTGAGAACTCCTGGTCTAGAGAAACTTTCTATACAGCACGCTATGTGGTGTTGATGTAGCGAATTGTAAACCTACACCTGTTTAATACTAAAACTGTATTTCTGCACGTAGAACATACTGAACATATAAAATTCACTGTTCGATTCACTGTTTATGTCCCTTTTTCTCATGAGCGTGGGCCTTGTGGACATCGGTGCTGAGTAGGTGGCTAGGTCCTCATAGCTGTCATCCATTGTCAGCATTTGCATTTTTTAGTGAAATGTTTCTTTAACCTGCACAGGAGAAACCAGAAATTGAAGTGTTTGAAAGTTCTAGATACGTCACTGGCTGTGAATAGAAGCTGTAGTCTAACCAGGTTTGTCAGTTGTTAGGAGTGGAAAACAGCAGCCGCTCTATGGCGGCGGTGTTTACTGAATGAGTTACTGTAAAACTAATACATACAAGGTGAAATATAAGTTAATGTCTGTTACAAGCTTCAGATGAACCAAATTAAATGCTTTTTTGGCATTAATTTTCCGTGATAAAGCTCAAACAGCCAAAAAAAATGCTGTACAAGTGCTAGCTTAGCGCTAATATACTGTATTACTGTGGCAGCAGCAGAAATTAGCAATATTATGAGGTGTTTTTGTTTATTTGACTGAGCTGAGATCAGGTTTGTCCTGTTGAGATGATAACGGTCACTCTCTTTGTTTTCTGTGTTCCAGTGGGCGTCTGAAGAGCCTCCCGCTTCTGCGTTCACGTGTGGCCGTACTACCATGAGCAATTCTACTCCATCCACAGGTACGGTCACGCCTGTCACGCCCTACATTTACACTGTGGATCGTCACATATTAAGGGAGAACTCTATGTGAGAATTATTGGCTATTATGAAAAGCAAAGAAATCAAATTATGTCTGGAATTTAAGAGCAGCTGAAACACACTACTGGTCACAGTGTACATTTGGAATTAATGTTTTCATCAGTATAAAAAGTTTGGAATCGATATGTTCAGCAACATAAAACCTGTTTTACTGTAGATAAATGTATAAAACGATTCTGTTATGATGTTAGTCCTATGAAACTTCACAGGTTACTAATAATTAACGGGCCCTGTATTTCATAGTTAATTGAGTTTTCCTCACTTTATATAGGATGTAAATATTGTTAAAGTTTCAAAACACACTGTTCACTCCTCAGTCCGTGGAGTCTGTATATGGAAACTAAGCTGCCAAGACAGCCCAGTTTGAATTCACTGGTTTCTGTGATATCACAAAAAAACACATGAACATATATTCACATATGCCCACCTATTCAGCCTACAGCAGTTTAGCCCCGGCCATTCACGCTGAAATTATAAGGAGTGTTTTGGTCTGGACTGCTTATTATACAAGGCATCATACAGGGCAGCCAATCAGAACAGAGCTCATTTACATATATCAGTCTCAAATGCACAGTAACAAAAACACCCTGTTTTATTCTAAGGGGATAAAGAGAGGACGATGGAATGGTGGAATGGAAAATACTTTTTGTACATAAAACCAAACAAAATTGGACCTCAGGCGAAAACTTTAATATGAATCTGTAAAAAAAAAAACAAGGTTAGAAATGTTAGGTGTGTCCAGAATGATAAACAGAGCTGTAGATGATTGTGAAATGACTGCGAAAGCTGTATAACATTGAGAATAAAGGTGAAGCTTTACGTTCTGTGAAGCTTGTCTAAACTCGCAACAGTGACTTTGAAAAAATGTGTTTGTGGGCGGAGCTTGGGGAGGTCAATTACTGAACCCCTAATTAACTGACGGAGCTGTAAGACGCTGAACTGGCTGTGCAGTGATGACTGCTGCTCTGAACACTGAGCACTGTGCTGGATGTTGCTCCTTAGTTTATTATGAGGCCCTTGTTTGTTTAATTATGAAGAGAACTGTGAGCGTTATTTTCCAAACCCTCCTCGTCCTGTTTGGTTCAGTTGAAATGTGAGTGAATGAGTGTGTGTGTGTGTGTGTGTGTGTGTGTGTGTGTGTGTGTGTCTGTGTCTGTGTGTGTGTGTTTGGGCAGGGGGGAGGGGTGTGGTGGGGGGCTGGCAGTAATCAGTGTGTTGTTGCATGTGGATGAGCTGCCCTGACTGGGTGGGTTTGGTTATTTGAAGAGCTGAATGGACCTCCGGGGGAAGCGGAGACGGAGGGCAAGATGAGCTGACCCTGACGCCTGCGCTCAAGTGTCAGAAATGAGTTCTCACTCTCTTTATCTGTCTCTCTCTCTCGCTCTACCCCAGTCTCTCTTTCTATCGCTCTGTTTCTCTCTTTCATTCTTTCTTTTTTTCTTTCTCTCTCTCTGTCTCTCTCTCTCCTTCCTTCCACTCTTTTTTTTGTCGTTCTGTTTCTCACTTGTTCTTTCTTTCTGTCTTTCTTTTTTCTCTTTCACTCTCTCTTGCTCACACACACTCTCTCTTTCTCTCTCTCTCTCTGTCTTACACTTTCTTTCTTTCTCTTACACTCTTTTTCTCCCTGCCCTAAGGTCTCTTTCTCCTTCTTTTCTGTCTTTTACTCCCCCCTACTCCTGCCCCCCCTCCCCCCCATTTGCCTCACTGTCTCGTAACAGCAGTAAACAACAGGCTGTAATCTGTTTTTGAAGGAGAAACACAGTCTCTATTATTTTCCATAGCCTCCAGCTCTGTGGATGACCGTTTGTAGCACTCAGACGGTTTCTATATTTAGAGTTTAAAATGTAAAAAATCTACTTTTTTTGTATTGTACAAAATATTTCAGCAGATGGAGTTATTTTGTATACTGACTTTACAAATATGCACATTTGTTTAATGAGGATTTTTATTAGGGCTGTCAAATTATTAAAATAATCAATCATGAATAGTCACAGTAGTTTATTTGGTTTAGTTAATTGTGATTAAGCACAATTGTCTGATTTACTCATGAACAGCTTAGGGTGGAACTAAAATGCATTAGCAGCATTAAAACGTTATAAGCTGCACAGTAGTGTTTAGAAATTCTTATCACGCTATTGGCCTTCGCAGTATTGATCAATTACGTTTGCAAATGTAGCATGCATAATGTTTAACCATGTGACCATGTGTTCACCAGTGTTTTAGTACAACCCTGTTAAAAAAAAAAAGTTGGGACGCTGTACAAAATGTCAATAAAAACAGAATAGAGTGATGTTCAGATCTTTTAAACCCTATATTTAATTGAAACATAATACAATGACTGCATATCAGATGTTGAAACTGAGAAATTTTATTGTTTTTTGAAAAATATATGCCTATTTTCAATTTGATGCCAGCAACATGTTTTAAAAAAGTTGGGACGGGGGCAACCAAAGGCAAAGTAAAGTTGTGTAATGTTAAAAAAACACCTGGTGGAAGATCCCACAACTAATTATAAAAAGATATATAAAGTATAAAAAGAGCATCCAGAGAAGCTGAGTCTTTCAGAAGTTAAGATGGGGAGAAGTTCACCACTCTGTGAAAGACTGTGCGTGTAAATAGTGCAACAATTCAAGAATTGCATTTCTCAACATAAAAATAGCAACAAACTTGGGAATTTCAAGGTCAAAAGCCGGCATCCATAATATGGGAGTGCATCAGTGCACATCTGTGAAAACACCATTAATGCTGAACAATATATATACAGGTTTTGGAACGACGTATGCTGCCATCCAGACAACGTCTTTTTCAGGGAAGGCCTTGCTTATTTCAGCAAGACAATGTAAAACCACATTCTGCATGTGTTACAACAGCATGACTCCGCAGTAAAAGAGTCTGAGTGCTAAACTGGCTTGCCTGCAATCCAGACCTGTCACCTATTGAAAACCTTGATGCATTTGAAATGAACAATACGGCAAAGGAGACCCCGAACCGTTGAGCAGCTGAAATCCTGTAACAAGCAAGAATGGGAAAACATTTCACTTTCAAAACTACAGCAGTCGGTCTCCTCAGTTCCCAAATGCTTACAGAGTGTTGTTAAAAGAAGAGGTGATGAAACACAGTGGTAAACCTGCCCCTGTCCCAACTTTTTTGAAACATGTTGCTGGCATCAAATGCAAAATGGTCTCAGTTTGATTTTTTGTTTTTGTACAATTAAATATGGGGTTTAAAGGATTTCCACATCATTGCATTGTCATGTGAAACTAGCCGCCGCATTTTTTTGAACTGCTGCAAATGCAACGTCATTGGATGGCTTGTTCCTTCAGCTAACAGACACCTATACTGGCTAGCATCACACTGAGTGACTGGGGGAGAGGAAGGATCGTACCCACCCAGCGAGAGCGAGGCATTGCGTGAAGCATTTCTATTGGTCTGTTTATCAGGAAATTTACATACAAAGGGCAGCTGCTGAGCTCAAATGATATAATGAAAAATTTTAATTGCAAAAAATGGAGATACTTGTTGTTTATTTGATTTGCTAATAAACTGGAATTGGAGCAACAGCCATATTGGAGCTAATAGACCGTTACATGTCAGCCTCAAAGCCTGTTTCTGAAGCAAAGTTAGTTCTAAAAACCATAGTCAGGAATTACTGTTACTTGCAGGACAGTTTTTAGTGCTGCTGAAATAGAAAACATTTGGAAAGCACCAAACTGTAGCGTCTATTAGCATCGCCACAGAACTCTTTTTTATTATTTCTGAGTTTTAACCTCAGACTTGACTCTCACCCTTAGCTAGTATATCACTATTTTGGTTAGGCAGAGAAATGGCCTTGTCCTCCATATAGCAACTTAATGGCTTGACATAGCTGCCATTTAGCAATATTGCTAAAATAGTTTCCTATATTTACAAAGCAGAAAGGTTGAGAAGGGCCTAAGCAGAGCCGACCTTGAGATACAGGGCAGACAAAGCTAAAACAAGGCCCTCGCACCGAAAACATAAGGTCAGTTTTTTCCTGAAGGAGATGAAAATATGAGGTTGATGGCTCGCTCTGGCAGGTGGAAGCAGTTGCGATAATAATTTTGATAGCAGGCGTCTGTCCTTTTACCCAGCCAGCCTGTCTAGACACACTGAACGTGCTTCAGTTAGATACGAGGCATGTGGGGACATTTTTATGTGGTGCGGTTTAGGGTCTGGTTGCTGAAAGGAAGTGCATGACTGCATCTTTTGGTTAACTTTTATAGGATCCTCTATTGAAGCTAATAGACCTCTGACGTGTCTCTAAAGCTGAGGTGGCTTTTCTAAAAACTCACTAAAAGCCCCAATCAAGAATCTATTTACAGGCCAGTTTTACCAGCAGTATAACACATTCAACATTAGCAGCCTCAGTCAAACATTTAATAATCTTAAAGACATTTTTCATTTAAATGCTTATCCCTAAATGCTTGAAATTTGTTTTGGAGGCCAGTAGGAGTTTGTTTCCAAAAATTTCAAATTATAAGGCTTAGTTTTGGAAACGTCTCAGCAGCCAGCAAGATCTCAGCGTGTGTGGATCTTCAGCCTGTTTCAAGAGCATCTCAGGTGGCTCCTGATGAAGCTGCTTGAGAGAATGAAAAGAGTATGTAAAGCTACATTAAGGAAAATGGAAAGTAGCTGGTTCTAAAATAGAAGAGTTTTGGTTTATTTAACAGTTTTCGGTCACTGCATAATTTTATGTGTTATTTTGTAGTTTTGTTGTCTTCATTAAAATTAAAAATATATATATAGTTTTGTCTGCACTTTTGTCTAGTACTGTATCATACTGTCTTTTAGTCTTTGACTGTTCTTGGTCAGTGGCTATTAGGGCTGTATATCACAACATTTGATACCAAATGTTTAGGAAAATCATGAAATCTGAAATATTAAATATTGTGAAATCTCAAAT